AATACTGGTGTTTTAAGAGATCTTATAAGAGTTATAAATTTCTTGATGATGTTTTTACAATCTCTGGAATAAGTCTGGTGGCAATAGGAACTATCTCTGGAGGAATAACCCTAACCCCTGTAGTTCTCGGAGTTATAAATGGTGCTGGGATTATAGTTGCTGGTATTGGAAAGAAAAAGAATCTCAAGAGAAAAATTGAAATGTCAAGTATTGCATTTACTACTTATGAAAAGGTACTGGTTGAACTGCGTGCAGCTCTAAGAGGTGATAAGTTTGACAAACAAGAGTTTATTGTTCGCATGAAACTAATAGATGAAATGATAATTGATCAAACTCGTATAGAAGATAGATTTGCTAGTAGGTATAATAAAAAATTTAGTCTAAGTACATAGTAGAATGGATAGTTTTGAATTAATTGAAAGTAATTTACTTAGTTCCTACGAATCAACTTTAGCTGTAGAAGGTAGAGAAATTTGTGTAAAAGTTGATTCTATACTTGAAGATGATGATGATATATTAAGGGAAAAAGCTAATACTTATTGTATTCTTTGTAAGGAATTAAAAAAAGATGCCATTGATACAAAATTGCTTAAAAGATGTAAAAAATATTTAAATGATTTAAGAAATTATAGACATATCAAAAATACTTTAGAAGATATTTCAAGATCAAGAAAAATGGGTTAAAGATTAAAATACTAATTAATATATAACCAATAACAAAACTTTTTAGCAGATTCTATTTTAGATCTAAATACAAGTTTATAAAATCCAGGTTCATTGATAAATTTACAATGTCTTTTGCTGTAGACTTTCAATACTAAATTAGTATTGAAAATCTAATCTAAGTATTCAAAAATATAATTTTTTCCATCTTTTTTTGATGTTAAAAATTTAAATTTTTTTCTACAAACTTGAGAAATATTACCAGCACTAATATCTAATTCAATCGCAGCTTTATTTAATAGAAATAAATCTTTTTTCTTTTCCAGTTTCAATACAAATAGAAATAATTGCTTTATTATTACTTTTTTCAGAATTTTGTCTAGGAGTAACTAGTTGTAAATTTTTAACTCTATTATCCGTTTTAATATTATTTATGTGGTCTATTTCTAAACATTTTGGTATTGGTCCTTTAAAAACTTCAAAAACAAACCTATGTTGAGAGTAATCTTTTGGTTTTTCAAGTTTTTTATTACATATTTTAAATCTTTAATATCCTCCTCTATCTTTTGTCATCTTTAAAATTCTTTCAGTTTTTACATTTATTACATCTCCATTTTTATTTGCAGCATAATTAGTGAACACTGGATGTTTATAGAATTTTTTCCCATCAATTATAACTCTTTGTTTTATTTTGGAGTCAAACATTTTGAAGTAGTTATATTTTCTGATAGAAGGCAAAACTTCTGAGGTAATCCATCTTTTAAACTTTTTAGCAGATTTTAATTTAGAAGATAATACAAGAGAATATAAACCAGATTCATTTATAAAAATAGGAGGTCTACCTATTTTTGAATAACCCGTCGTTTCGACGGGAAAATATTTTCGGTCTTCATCATCAATATGTTTTCTAATAGCCTGATCAGTATCTCGATAACCTAAAATAGTTGCAACTTGTTTTGCTTTGAACCAAACGTTAAATTTATCATCAATGAATGAATTAAAATTAATTCCAAGTTGATTATTAATAAAAGATTTCTCAATCATTTTTATTTATAATTTTATTTCTTTAAGCCTTTATTTATTTTCTATTTAAAAAATAAAATAGAAAATGGTAGCAGATTAAATCTGATAGTATCATTTTGTTTTTATTTTTTTAACACCATCTATTTTCTCTTAAGATTTTAGATTCTTCTTCTGTAAGTGGATCACCTGCTTCAGTATATCTACCAATAAGTTTAGCATCTTCATCACTTTCACGTTTACACAAAACAGCTTGTTCTAAACAACCCTCTGTTAAATTGTCAAAAAACTCAGCAAGCATTCGTCCATATTGCCGATCTTCAACTTCTAAACAAACATCAAAATCGATAAAATCTTTTCTTTCTGATTTTGATATATCATTTAAATATCTATTACATTTAATATTTCTTTTTACTTCTTCTGATATTTCATCTTCAGGTACCAAATCGATAAAATCTTTTCTTTCTGATTTTGATATATCATTTAAATATCTATTACATTTAATATTTCTTTTTACTTCTTTTGATATTTCATCTTCAGGTACCAAATCGATTATAGATTTTTCTTCATTAAACTTAAGATTAGCTAATTGTTCTCTTTGATCATAATCCAGGTTATTTAGATGAATCATTCCAAATATCTTACCAAATTTTTCTTTTGCATCTAACTGTTCTTTTAATACTACAGGATGAAGTTTGTATAAAAATTCAGCTACGTATTTAGCATATTGGACACTTTTAAATTTTATATAAACTTTCATTTTATATTATTTTATATAAATCTTTAACTTTTTTTTCTATCTAAACATAAAATAGAAAATGATCAAATCAGTTGTAACTTATGTTAATTTCTACTTCCCCATGTATAAAACACAATTTTATCCGGATAACTTTATTAAAGCTTGTCTTGTTTACCAGTTTCTCTATGAAAAGTATTTCGCACAAAAACTAGACATAGATCAAATTATTTACAGACTAACAGAAGCAAGAAACTACCTAAGGTCAGATTCAAATATTATTACCAATCATTTAATATTCAATCTCGCTTTCAAAGCTTTCTGGAAACAGTATAGAATTGGTAGAGGATGTGTATATACTTTCAACTCACCGTTTAAAGAATGTGAAGTACTCAGCTTTCTAACTGGAATTATTTACTGGTGTTTTCACAAAGGAGTGGCTGAGGTCGTTGTTGAGTGATTTATAACTACTCCACCACTTTTCATAATTCTCCAGAGTTTGGGGAGAAATCTTAAGATAAACTAGTTTGTACTTTTCATTTTTTTGATTAGATAAAAAATACTTATCATTCTCTTTCTACAGTATTGTTTGTTTAGTATTTCCATGACGTGGTTATCTATAGCCATTAGTTTATTGTATAAACAATACTTTTGTTCATCAGTTAGGTGTAGTCTTTTAGAAATTTGATTAACCTTTTTTTCATAGTGATACTTTCTCTGATAAATACTCTTCTTTCGAAAATGTAATCTGGAGTAGTCTTTAACATCATAGTAACCCAAAACATGGCCATTTGCTGCACCACAGTAATCACAAATGCTGTAACCTAAATGAATAAAAAAACATTCACTATTGTAACAATTCCAGCATCTAACACGTTGAGTACTCACATCCGCGTCCTCTATAGGTTGTTTAGTATATTTATGCAATATTTCTAGATATTGCTTTATTTGCTCTTCTGTATAACACATTTATTATTTATATCTTATTATCTTAAAGCAAGTGTTTTTAATTTATTAAACATCACACTGCGCTTATCATCTTCATTGCTTAGAGCTATTTTATTTACTTCTTTTGAATATATATCATGATTTTCACTTCTTATAATCTTCATCGATCTCATTTGCTTTTTACCCAAAAATAAACAATCAACATAATCTTCAAAATCTAATTTCTTTTTTTATAACATTTTTCTTCATACCTTTACATTTACGAACTTCTTTACTCTCCTCTATTTTAAAACTATAAAGTTTGGGTCGCAATCCAACAAAACAAGTAATTTGTTTTCCTGCTACTTCATCTTTAAACATTCCTATTACTTTTTTATTAACTCCTGTCGGTATTCCAGATGGATGGTCAGAAGGATAATCAGATGTGTCAAACTTAGTAATTATATCATTGGATATATCTTTGTAAAAATCATCTGTGTGAATCTGATACATCAAACTATCGGTATCTGTAAACAATAACTCAGCTTTGTCTTTATATTTTTCTTGAATATAGTTGTAATGAAAATCAAACATTAATGTTTTTGACAGATCTAGAATTGCTTGTCCAACGTATACTGGTTTTTTAAAATACACTTCTGTTTTTTTCGTATGAACCGCAATGAGATTTTTATCAAATATTGTTGCTCTATCAAAGTTAGGACGACTTGTTAATTTTACAGCTTTCTTACGATCATCAATAATAAATATATTTTGTCTTTTTCTTATGTTTTCTATTGTTTTTCCAAATACAGAATTATACATTAGTTTGAAAAAGTCTTTCTCAAAACTGTTGGTTGCTGTTTTTCGAAGTTCTGTATTTTTTCTAATGTAAGGCTCCATCCAAGAACTCTGATAGAATGATATTCCTCTGTGAACAGCAGTTATTCTCATTCCCATCTCAAGATATTGTCTTAGATTTCGATAATGTACAACATAGTTCTTTCTTGGTTTAAAATGACAAATTAGTTTTTCAACACCATTAACAATCATTTTCTCAGGTGCAAGTGGATAGTCATTATGTGTTTCCCATAGGCTGGTAGGATATTCCAAATCAACTTCAAATATATACCCTTTTCTTCCACGATTTGACATACTATGATTTGTTTTATCCAGTATGTCAATTAGTTTGTCTTTTGTTAGGTTTCTCCTCCACTTAAATCCATGTGTTGGAAGTGATTGTGACATTGCCCATCCGTAAAGATTATTTGCATCAAGATATTGAATATAAGTAGACTCCACATCAGGATTGTAATCTTTCATATATTTGTTATTCGCTTCTGGATATCGTTTTGATATGTGAGATATTCCACCACGAATTCCTTTTTCAAACATCATCAACATATCATAATCATGTAGTAACTGTAATTCCTGACCTGTTTCTTTGAGACATGCATCCCAAGCTAGCCCAGGAGATGTGCTGGATCCAGATTGTAATGGTAAAGACAAGTTTTTCTTAAGTTTTCAAATACATCTGACAAAAGTAGGACATCAGACTTTAGGTATAGATCATGATAATCTCTAATTGTTTTACATTCAAAAGTATTCCAGACATTAATAGCGTGTTGATAATCATCATCAGTTACTTCTTCATCATTTAGTTTTGAATAGAATTCTTCTTTTGGAGGTAATTGTGTTTCAGATAGTTTTTCCGTTGAGGAAACATAATCATATGGATAAACTCCCTTACGAGGTCTACATTTTCACTAAATATTTCTTTTGTATTATTAAAATCATCTGGTTGTAGATTTGAAACAAGATTAGCAAGACTTGTTTGAAGAAACTTGAATGAATCAATAAATCGTATTTCAAAATATAATGAAACCATTTCTCCAGTGAGTCGAGATTTATACTCATCGACCTTAATCTTTTTGGAAAAGGAAATATACTTTTCTTCTGTAGATGGAATACAGTTTAACTCACCTGGTAAACAAGCAAGTTGTTTTATAAACAAATGTGCATCATATCCTTGAAGATTGTGAAATATAACTGGAAGAATCATTGGCTTTCTACACTGAAGATTGCAACTGTTATGAGCAGCTCCACGATATTGACCAGTAAAATGACGATGATCTCTAACTTTGTCAGACAGTAATTCTTTCTTACAAATATGACAAGTTTCCGCTTTATCAAAGGATATTTGTTCTTGTTTTGTTAAACGAAGAGGTATTGGGCGACGATAAAAATCATTATATATCTTATTAGTTACTTTTGCAATTTTATTAACAAATATCTTAGCTACATTATCATCACTATTAGTTTTTGTGTAAATAATTGGTTTAAACGTTATATCAGGAACTATTCCTTTAATGTAAAAACAAAATCCTGATGGTTCATGCTTTTGGTAATTGTAATTATATGATTCTTTTGGATTAGGACTGCAAGTATTCATTGGTTTGGTAAAACATTCAAAATCCGCATAAACTACAAAAGGGATTGGAAGTTGTTTGTAGTAATTTTTAAAACCCAACATCGTATTTTCTTTTGTCATTTTTACAGAAACTGTTTCATTATTTGAACAATATAAGATATGTTTTTGTAATAATTCATACTTAGTAAAATGAGTAAAGCATTTTTTACAAATATAAAATGAACCATTCTTACTTGAAGTTAATTGTGATTTAATCAAACGAGTAAAACTTTTAATTAGTGAATAGTGGGAAACACCATCTTCTTCATATAAAAACAAATCAATACTATTTAAACACTCTCTCTCTGCCATTCTCAAAGGATAAAACGTTTTGTTTTCATTAACTGAAAAAACATTAATTCCTGGAATCGATGGATTAAGTTTTTCAAATTTGGAAATATGATTTAATTTCATAGGAAAAGTAATTCCTTTGGTGTTAAGTGAAAACTCATACTTCTTTAAATCTGTTAATCGGGCATCATTATCTTTTCTTGGATGAAGATATCTAAGTATACACCAAAGAAAGCATTTCTCATCTTTGTTTTCAATATTAACTATTGCTTTTTTATTTGTTATCCAATCTGGAAGAGGAATGTAAGATGACCCCTTCATTGGATTAAACACAACAGTATGAATTTCAAGTTGAATAATTTCTTTAAAATACCATCCACTTCCATTTTTTTGGTATGATTCTAATTCTTCAATAATTTTATTAACACATTTATGAATTAATTTATTTACATCTGTTGAAACAAGATTAGAACGTGTTCCTGAGTTAAAATATGCTTTATCTTCTTTTAATCCAACAACTTCCCCTTTTTTGCCTAATATTTGCTGCGCCATTAAACACACCAAAACCATACCAAATTTAATATTTCGATGATTAGTAAAAAAATCTTCTAAAGTTTTATAAACTCTGTTAAAAAATTCAACTGGTGAAATACCAGGATCTCCTCTAATAATATACTTAACAGCAAAGTTTTCAAAAACTGATTTTTCTTTTTCAATACCTTGTTCATATTCCTTAATAGCTCTCTCAAGAGCTTCACGAAAATAAGGAGGAGTATCTGCGGGAAATTCCTTATTTTCTATACATTCCTGAAAATACCCATCAAATGTTTTTATCTTTTTAATTTCATTACCTTTTTTTATCTTTTTAGTTTTGGATTTCCTTTTCATTTCTTTTTTTTATATTTATACCTTGTTTTACTTTTTCATTAAGTTTATCTACTTTTCTAATATCACGAATTATTTTTTCTTTTTCAATTAATTCTTTATAATTATCCGTAAGTCCTTGTTTCTTCTGGTTTAATATATATTTTAATTGATCCAAAGATAAACTACTGTACTCTTTATCATTTATAAAGGGTTGAGAACCCTGAAAACCATCAACTGATTGGTTAGACATGATGTCTTATAATCTTATATTTAGATTATAAGACTTTAAATTATAATTAATCACTATCACTATCATCACTATCATTATAAATATAAATAACATAATCATCACTATCATCACTATCACTATAAATAACATCATCATCCCCATCATCACTAACATCATTATCAATTATACTAAAATCTGACAAAAATAATTCAAAATATTTGTTAAATTCTAATAATCCTGGGTATACAGTTTCTTTTACATCATCTTCAACATCACTATCAAATCTATAAGAAAGATATT